CACAAGTTTCAAGAAGGCATTTTAGGATGAACGATGGAGGAAGGCTATGAGAGAGGAGATTGATGCACTAGAGGCTAATGGAACGTGGTCTCTTGTCTCTCCTCCACGCCATAAAAAGCCCCTTGGTTGCAAATGGGTATATAAGATCAAGCGCAAATCCGATGGAAGTGTGGAGAGATATAAGGCCAGACTTGTTATACTTGGCAATCACCAGGTTGAAGGACTTGACTACAAGGAAACATTTGCTCCTGTAGTCAAGTTGACCACTGTGAGAACGCTTTTGGCAATTGCAGCAGTTAAGGGGTGGGAATTGCATCAGATGGATGTTCACAATGCATTTCTACACGGAGATCTTCAGGATGAGGTGTATATGAGATTGCCACCTGGTTTCTCAAATTCGTCTAATGTGGTGTGCAAACTCAAGAAGTCTCTGTATGGCTTAAAGCAAGCTCCAAGGTGTTGGTTTGCCAAGTTGTCTGGAGCCTTGAAACGATATGGGTTTGTCCAATCTGTTGCTGATTACTCCTTATTTTCTTTTGTTGGAAAGAAAGGAGTCATACATGTATTGGTTTATGTTGATGATTTGATTATTGCTGGAGATAATACAGAGATGGTAAGCAAGTTCAAAGCTTATCTCGGAGATTGTTTTCATATGAAGGACTTGGGAACACTGAAATACTTTCTTGGCATTGAGGTGGCGAGGAGCACGTCTGGGATTTTTCTCTGCCAACGAAAGTACGCCTTAGATATCATCATTGAGGCAGGGTTGTTAGGTGCTAGGCCGTTGGGTGCCCCGATGGAGCCAAATCATCACTTGGCTCGTTCCCAAGCCCCGGTTATTGCAGATCCAGAACCATATCGACGATTGGTAGGAAGATTGGTCTATCTCTCCGTTACACGACCGGAACTTTCTTACGCCGTCCACACTTTAGCACAGTTTTTAAAGGAACCAAGGGAGGATCAGTGGACTGCGGCACTCAGAGTTGTTCGTTATTTGAAGGGATGTCCGGGTCAGGGCATTTTTCTGTCAGCAGAGAGTAGTCTTCAACTCACAGGATGGTGTGATTCGGACTGGGCAGCATGTCCTTTGCTGAAGCGGAGTATAGAGCTTTGGCTGTCCTTACCTGTGAGTTGAAGTGGTTGAAGAATGTATTGCGGTGTTTAGGGGTTGAGCATAAGAACCCCATGACGGTCCGGTGTGACAGCACGGCAGCTCTTCACATTGCTGCTAATCCGGTTTTCCACAAACGCACGAAGCACATTGAGATTGATTGTCACTTCGTTCGTGATGAACTCTTGCGAGGAGAGATTCGTACACTTCATGTGCCTACTACGCATCAGCTTGCAGACATTCATACAAAGGCACTCGGAAAGTCCCGTTTGGAGTTTCTTCTTCCCAAGTTGGGCATTTCGTTACTACATGCTCCAACTTGAGGGGGGGTGTTAAAGAAAAGAGAATATTTGGTAGAATATTGGGAGATATTTGTGTATATATTGTTTTGGTAGTTTTCCTTGTATAGAGATTCTTTCCTTTTCCTTTTCCTTTACTGATTAGGAGTCTCAACTTGTGAGATCCTATATATATGTCCTTATTGTAAATTGTAGAGACAAGAGAGTAATTCAGAAAATTTCCTCCAAAATAATTCTTTCAATATATGATATACATACACACATACCTCAGGGCCTCTGAGCTTCCGGGAGAATTCGAGGAGTTGGGCATTGAGATAAACCGAAGCGGAATACATTTGCCTCCTGACCACACGATGGGCTTCGAAGACAAACCGAAGGGGATCCGCCGCTGCCGCCGCCGGAGGGAGTTTGGGAATGGCCAGAGGAAGGAAAGTGAAGCGGTTGCCCCAAGGCATTTCGGCGTTTGGTTTGATCATCTCCGCCACCGTCTTGTAGCCTCCGATAGCCCGGGTGTTGAAGAGCACCAGGGAAGTGCACCTCCCGTTGCACGTCTCTCTCTCCATCTCTTGCATGTATAGCCTTGTCCCGTAAGTCACTATCCCCGTTATCACGTCGTTTATCGTCTTCAAATAATTAAAGTATTTAATGGTCAAATAGTTTCAAGTGTTTGTTTAGTTTAGACTTTTTCTAATAAAAATGATAAGTTTTGGGAATTATTAAATACTCCATCTGTCCCATAAAGATTGAGACAGTTTGACTAAAGTGGTAAAATAAGGAGAGATGATTTTGTGTTGACTTTCCAAAAATACCCTTGATGTGATGGGTAAAAGTAGGATGTGATGGGTAGATTATTAGGAAAAAGGTATGATGTAATAGGTAGGGTATGAAAAAGTAAGGAGTAAAAATGGTTTTTTAATAGAAACGAGACGAACTTTAGGGATGCAAATTTTTCGAAATGGGACTGACTTTATGGTGTGTTTGCTCCGTAGAACACAAATTGTGGATTTCAAAATCTTTTCTTGTGTTATACTGTAGAATTTAAAATCTAGAATCCATATGTTTGGAATTTTAATTTTTGAATATTAATAAAAGAAACAATTTTTTTTAAAAAAATACTTTCTTTTCTACCAAATAGCGAGAAATATGATTAGAAAATAATTTCATTGAAAATCATATTTTTTGGAAAAATATTTCTTGGGAAGTAGTTTTTCAATTTGACATATGAGTCATTGTAGCCTTGTAGGTGTGTGAAGTCATAATATGACATTACACCAATGTCAATGGGGTTTGTTCTATGACGACCCATTGATTCTGACTAAAATATAATGACTTTCCAACATAGGACCATACGTTTTTATTTCCCAATGTAGGACCTTTGGTCATTATTATTAAGTAGTCATTATTTAATTAAATGCTCATCATTACTCAATATTATTCCTCCCACTAGGTCATTATTAAGTCCTATTTAAGGAATAAAAAAGTTTAAGTCCTACATTGGGAAAGTCATTATGTTTTAGTCCTATTTAGTGCAAATTTCACTTCTGACAACCCTTACCACTTTAAGATTGGTTTTGATTTGTCGGAGGTGCTGCAGTGATATGGAGACGGTGGTGACAGCAATGGGCCTCAACTCCACTCCCTCATCGCCGGAATGAACCGCCGTCCGGTCATCATCAACCCAGCTACTCTTCATAAAGCTCCACGTAAAGTCCGCCACCGTGTGGGCCACCCCGGTCAACAACCTCGGAATGGCTCTGAGGAAATTCATCCCCCTCCCCCTCGCCGGTTGACTGCTCACCCGGCGAGGGAGCGTCATGGGAAGCGCAGGGTTATCAACCCTTTTAAGGAGGGAGAGAAGAGCCCCAATCAACGAGTACCCGTCTCCGAGCGAGTGGTGGAGCTTGAAGATGAAGCTCCCGGGTGCGTCGCTCGTCGGGTATCCGAAGATGTGAATTTCCCATAACGGACGTGTTTGTGGAAACGGATCCATGGAGATCTTTGTCAGATACTCCGACAGGCGCTCGTCGTAGTATTCCGGTTCCCTTCCGGACGGATATGTCGGGAAGTGGAGGTGGTCGGCAACATTTACTTGCACCCGTTTCCATTTCTTTTCCCCGTTTTCCTCGCTAACCTGTTAAGTTAATTTTTTTCAAGTCAAACTAAATAAATTAATAAATTTGGATTATAAATTATATAAAAATTCATTGGATACTAATACTCCATCCGTCCCAAAAAGTTTGTCACGTTTCGAAAAAAATTGCGTCCCTTAAAGTCCGTTCCATTTCTATTAAAAAACCATTTTTGCCCCTTACTTTTTCATACTCTACATATCACATCATACCTTTTTTTTCTAATAATCTACCCATTACAGTCTACTTTTACCCATCACATCAAGGGTATTTTTAAAAAATCAACACCAAAATATCCCTTCTTATTTTACCACTTTAGTCAAAATGGGACAAACTTTTTGGGACAGAGGAGTACAAAAATGATGATTTCATTTATTAGGGTTATCCTACAAAGCTCTCAGCACGTATACCTGCCAAGTTTGACTAAATCAAGTTAAATTGAAAAAATAATGTTAGAGTTTTCACAACAGAAAAAATATCATTAGCATGTATAGAAGTGTAATTCCCTACACATGAGTTTAGTTCTACTAAAATTTTACTCTATCTGTTCTTGAAAACACTCCCATTCTGACCAAGTGCCAAAAATAAAAAAGTGTTAAATTATAGTTGACTTTCAATTTTGTACGAGTATTTGATATGATGCGTAAAAGTAATATGTAATTGATAAATTATTAGAGAAAAATATGATGTAATAGGTAGGGTAAGAAATAGTAGGATAAAAATGGGTTTTTAATAGAAAGTGGAAGTGTTTTGGTGGAAGAAAAAAAATGAAAGAGAAAATGTTATTCCAAATGGGGAAATGCTTGGTTCACAAACAAAATCGTCACAAATTTCACAAACTTACGATTTGTGAACTTCAATAATAAAATGAAGTAGCCTAAAATAATTTTAAAATAAGAATTTTCATCTGAAATGGTATGTTTGTAAAGTTTGTGACAATTTTATTTGTGAACCTAGCATGATGTACGACATGTTAAGATTTTGAAAGAAATTAATAGCTACGTAAAAGTCAAATGAGATGAATATTTCTGGACGGAGTGAGTAATTCAAGAGTAAATTCCATAATTGGTCCTTTATAACAGAGGGGTTTCCATATTTAGTCCTCTATTATCAAATATTACCCTCGTAGTCCTTTTTTTAAGGGTGCCTTTTCACAAATGGTCCTTTTTTTGATCTTCTGTCATGTTGGTGTTAATTTAAAGGTTAAAAGAATAATTTGACATCAACATTATGTCTAGTGACGTGTTCTGATATTGGTTAAGCGGATAACACAAAAATAATGACTATGATTGTGGGCTAGGATTCAGACGAAAGATCACACTTGTAGACTATGGTTATAGTAGAAAGCGACTGTAATTCACAAACGACGCAAACGACATAGCCTTTGGAATTGTGTATGACAAAAAAGATATATTATCATTGTGAAATTATACTTTTAGCCCTCAAATTAACACCAACATGATAGAAGATCAAAAAAAGAATTATTTGTGGAAAAATACCCATAAAAGAAGGGACTAAATAGAAAAACCTTCCTGTTATAAAGTACCAATTATGGAATTTACTCGTAATTAAATATGTAGAACATGCAACTAAAAGATAGGAGGCATGCATGGATTACGTGCGTACCATGATAGAGGAAAACCTAGGACAGATGGGCAAGAAGACATCCTTGATAGTAGAAAGGAGATCGGGTTCATGGAGATGGAGGGCAACTTTGGTCTCTAGAACAGCAATGATGCAGAGGGACAACACTTTGCTGTTCATGTACTGTGCAGCAGGACTCGCTGGTTGCACATCATCATCATCATCATCATATGATGACTCATCGTCATCATCATGATATTCATATTCATCCATCTTCCATATTCCACCACTCATGCTTAAAGCTCTCGATGAATGTATATGGAGGACTCCGTGTGATGTTTACTTCATTTGCCTACTACTATGTATAAATACTACTTACCTACTAGCTAGGTACGTATAGTAGGTGTGTATATATAGCTAGGTACATAGGTTTTCGTTTAACAGATGTACATAATTTGTTATTCAAGGCGCAGAATCAAAATGACCTGGTTCTCTGTGTGAAAAAGATCTGAGTGTCAATTTACCGATATTAGAAAATTGAAAAGAACATAACAAGTTTATATTTAGCTCTTGAGTTGCATTGATGAATTGATTGACTTCAATTTTTTAATATGATTCAACCCAAATATCTTACTCCATCCGTTTCAATAAATCTTTCCACTTTTATTTTTTTCCATTTTTCCAAAACACTTCCATTTTCTATTAAAAAATTAATTTCATCCTTACTTTTTCATATCCTATCTATCATATCATATTTTTTCACTAATAATCTTACTATTACAGTTACTTTTACCCATGATATAAAGGGTAAAATTAGAAAGTCAACTATAAATATACTTTCTTTATTTTGGCTAAAAGAACGAAGGGAGTATGTTCTAGTGTAGTGATCCTTACCTATCCTAAATTCTATCAGTGGAGAAGGTAGTGCTATATATGTTAAATTAATTGGGGTTCAATCCTGTCAAAGGTGAAAAAGAAAAACAACATTTCCTCCGTTTAAAGAGTCACTTTTACTCCTACTAATTCTTAACCCAATTAATTATCACATCACACTTTTTCACTATTAATCTACCTATCACATCTACTTTTATCCATCACATCTAAGGATATTTTTCAAAAGTCAACATCAAAATACACTCCCTTTAAATCTTTAAAAGTCAAAACGAGAAAGATATTTATAGGACGGAGGGAGCACATCAAATAGTGTACCAACGCTCCCTTTGGTTTAAGAAATAACTAGACATCAATCTCTCTTTTATTTTTAAAACTTATTTAGCATATATCCCCTCTGGAGTTCATTTCCTATTTTTCCTTTATTTTTAAGCTTTTTCCTTTCTTTCTCTCTTAGTTTCTTTCTCTATAGATATTTTTTAATTTCATTTTAAAATTTTTCTAAAAATGTTTTAAAAATTTAAAACTATTTGTGTTTGAAATAAAAAAAATCAAATGCAAAAAATTAACATATGCTGCATCAATTTTTATAAAATTATTTTTTCCCACAATAAAAAATGAAACCTTTTTTCGAAAATTAAAAAAATGAGGAATCGAAAAAGGAAATAAAAGGAAAGGAAAAAAATAGAAAAAAGAAATGAAAGAAAAGAAAAATTTACGAAAAATACTCTTGTAGAAAAGGGAAAATTTAGTCAAGAAGTACACTCATAAGTTTTTTCGCGACGTCAAAAAATTCATTTTTTCATCTGCTCGGTCAAGAATTATTTTTTTTTGGAAAAGCACACAACATTTTTAAAAAATTGAAAGAAATCCTATTTTTATTTTAAAAGTAAAATAAATAACCTTTTTTGGCACCACAATTATAACGATTTTTTTAGACTTCTAGATAAGAAACTGTTGCCCCTCATGATTCTGATATTGCTACGAATGCCAATGCCCCTCTGGACAAAAATATCCTTCAAATATTAGGTGGATAACTTCGCGCTACCCACTATCGTTTTGGAAATGGGCACCAACGCCCCCTCTACTTTTTCTTTATTGTTTTTCTTTTCTTTTATTCATAAAGAGAAAAATATTTGTGTGTGAAATAATGAAGAATTGTTTTTTTCAAACCTACATTTTTAAAAAAAATTTAAAAATAAAAATTATTTGTGTTTGAAATAAAATTTTAACATATACTTCATTTGTCAAATTAAATATTTTTTCTTTTTGTCTAAATTTGTTTTTATGTTTTTAAATATGTCGGGACAAAAAGACTACTGAGTAACAGTCTTTTAATATATACTCCATAGTTAATTATATATTAATAACATTTCCTTCATGACTTAATTTTCTCTATTTTATAAAAGTATTTTTCATATTTTTTTCTTTTTTATTTATTCTATTTTCTATTCTTTTTTATTTTATTTAATTTTGATTAAAATAAAAGAAATAGTATAAAATAAATGAACAGAAGATGAGAAATGAGCTTTAGTGAAAAAAAGAGAATATTTTATTGATTTTTGTATCATGAAAATGAACCAATAAAGACCTCTTTTGGACAAAGAAAAATGAAAATATTTATTTTGAGATAAATGAAGTGTATGTTAATTCATGTTATTTCATTGATTTTTATTGCAAACACAAAAAAATTGATCATTAAAACATTATAAAAATAATTTTAAAAAAGAAATTAAAAAACATTTACGAAAAAAGTAGTGGAAAAAAGAAAAACAATGAAAAAAAGAGGTGCATTTGTGTCAGTTTCCAAAACCATAGGAGGCAGTGAAGCTATTCACAAAATATTTAGAAGATATTTTAGTCCAGGGGGTAACGACGTAAGTTTTGAAACCATAAGCGGTAACGGTGCACATTTACCAAACCACAAAGAGTCATGGTACAATAAACTCGGCGAATAGCTCACAACACCAAGGGAGCTGTGTTCCTCCGTAAAATGTGACGACGACATGACGACAGATTATGCGACTCTCTCCGCGGAGCACTACGCTTAGTCTAATTAATAAACCGCGGGGGGCGTAGCTCTACTGGTAGAAATGGTAATGCCATGAGGAATTAATCACATTTTCACTTTCAGATAATTTACCTAAATATGACTAGAACATAATGACCTTCTCTATATAGGACCATATGTTTTTATTTCTCAATGTAGGACCATTGGTCATTATCTATTAGTCATTATTGAACTAAATGTCCAGCATCACTTGACATTATTCTACTCACTAGCCATTATTAAATCCTATTTAGGGAATAAAAAAGTTTAAGTTCTATATAGAGAAATAGATTATGTTTTAGTTTTCTTCAATGCAAATTTCTCTTTCAATTATGTCAACCGTAAAAAACAAAAATAATGCTAAACATAAAGTTCTTAAACGGTAACATTTATTTTGTTACCAAATTGATGGTATAACTCAATTTTAGTTTCGCCTAGGGTGGTTTAGTAGCGTCGAGACTGGTACTGGTAGACCATGAATTGGTGTGGACTGTGGAGGATATATCCTTTTCTTTTTTACGTACTCCTTAATAAACTGCATGCATGCCCTACACCCTTTATTTCTCTTTTAATCATGCATGTGGTATGTAACGTACCAAAATAAATAAATAAATAAATAAATAAATAATGCATGTGGTCCTAGCTACGTCCCAATTAACGATATGTCAAAGCTAAGCCAAAGTACAAAAATGATACGTCAAAGCTAAGCCGGGCGAGGTGAAAATGAGGTACCCACGATATGTCAAAGCTAAGCCAAAGTACAAAAATGATACGTCAAAGCTAAGCCGGGTAAGGTGAAAATGAGGTACCCAAACGCATATTTGTACTAGCTCCGTTCAAGAAAAAAGTTTTTTAAAAAAAAACTTAGCGCAACGTCACTTTTTTTAACATCTTCTTTCTTTTCCCTTTCAAGAATGCGCTCCTTCCTTTGTGGCATCTCAACTCACGTAACTCGAATACATGAGTCAGCGAACCGAATTGCTACCAAATTGGTACCATACACAGACACACAACATGGTCAAACCATTTAAAACATTCCAACAAAATTTAATGCAAAACATTACTTAAGAAAATCCACCATCGGAGTAAAGTAAAACATTCGCGGAAGCTTAAGTCATTGTTTCAAAATAAAACTTGGGAATCAAGCATGAAAACATAACAAGTCATTCATAAACAATTACCAGTTTAAAATCATCAAATTAAAAAGAGCCTTGCACATCTCTCGATCTTCATTTCCCTTTGAAATTGGGTCTAGATTCACTCTGAACCTGATTATCTGCGTGCAGCAAACAAGCACAATGTAGGACCTTAGGTGCTAACAACAACTCTTCTAAAACCAATTGGTATTAGAAAAAGCACATACACTAATTTTACAGCACATTTAGCATACACAAGCGCCCACGATATTGGATTGTGACTTGGCCAACATAGCCTCTGCCACGGGACGATTAATGCACACATGGCCAACAATCTCCACCTCAACAATTGTTCCCGCTAGGAATCAAACTTGTGACATTGGCTCCAATACCACTTGTAGGTCCTCAGACGCTACCAACTAAATATTCTAAAACTAATTGGTGTTTCCCTAACGTTATAGTTCATTCATCACACACAAAAACCCACGACATTAGATTATGACTTGGCCCACATAGCCTGTGCCACGGGACAATTAATCCGCACATGGTACACTTGTATGAACTCAAGCTCTACCAACTCTTCTAAAACCAATTGATGTTAGAAAAAGCACATACCTTAGCCTTATAGTGCATTCAGATCATACAAGCACTCAAGATATTCGGTTGTGACTTGGCCTACATAGCCTCCGCAACGGGACAATTGTTGCACAAATAGCCAACAATATCCCCCTCAACAATTGCTCCCACTGAGAATCGAACTCGTGACATTATCTCCGATACCACTTGTAAGACATCAGACGCTACCAACTCTTCTAAATGAATTGATGTTATAAGAAGTACATGCCATAGCCTTATAGTGCACTCAACACACACAAGCGCTCATGACATTAGATAACGACTTGGCCCACATAGCCTCTCCCACGTGACAACTGATGCACACAAGGCCAACACACACTACATGCTTAACAATGACGTCGGGTGGAAAATATCTAACATTCAATTAAACATAAATGAACTCACTAATCCATAGCCATCACATGATATCATTCACAAGTCACATCATAGCTAACACCACATACAATTCATCATAATATTCATGGATTCAAACAATAATTATCGAGTTCTCGTTATTTTATTCCTCAAATTTATATCCAACTCAAGCTCATAACCAATTCTAGGCTATGACCAGTCCATAACAAAACTTAAGAATCAGGACCTTCTCCTTCAAAATGAAGGTCACACTCAAACTAACAAAGGAGTTCCTCGTCACGTGGGTGGAATCCCTATCTCCACTAATCAATTTAGCTTAATCCTTGAATTCTTCTAGGTAGATTAGTTTATTCGTTCTGATTTTACTCATACAACATAACTGAAATCATGAGCTTTGTATAATACAAATAGAGAAATTTACTTAAATAGGACTAAAACATAATGACTTTCCCAATATAGGACCATATGTTTTTATTTCTTAATGTAGGACTTTTAGTCATTATCAAGTAGTCATTATTCAAGTAAATGTCATCATTACTGGACATTATTCTTCCCACTAGGTCATTATTAAATCCTATTTAGGGAATAAAAAAGTTTAAGTCCTACATTAGGAAAGTCATTATGTTTTAGTCCTATTTAGTACAAATTTTACATACAAATATAATCATGTAAGAACTCATTCACAAACAACGGCCTAGTGTTGGGTGTGAACACCCACACTTGCCCGCTTGCAGCATACAAAGTCTCATACTATATCCTCGACGCAAAATACATTTGTCATCGTTCATGTCTGTCTCCCGATACCTGTCACGGTACCTATGTACTGCCAAATGGTATCAGGGTACCGTTGACCAGTACCTAGTTACAAGGTGTGCTAGAGACTCTCTAGTGACTAGTAGAGAATATTCTTCTGTGATAGTAGCACGATACCAGTAGGCGGTACATATTTACCATCTGACATGAGGACTCACATGGTGCATCACAATCAAGTCAAAATATAGCCAAATTCCGACAATAAATTCACAAATTGAATCACAAACATTGACATAAACTGATTTCTAACATCATAAGGAATCATGAACATAAAAACCATGCATTATCATGCGTTCAAACCCCTTTTCATTTAACAAGAATTCTTAATTTTCCAAATCATAAAACCTAGTCAAGTTTTCACATAATTCAATCGATATGGTGATTACGACAAACGTAAATTTCAAACATATATGCTTAATCTATCATTAAATGTTCATGTACTCAGATCAGCTCGAGTCAGTGAAACTTAAACTATGATCACTGAAGGGTTTGACGACGGCAACGATGCGCCGTCCTCTTCTCTTCTTTTTCTTCTCCTCCGTCTGTCTTCCTTTGCCGCTGAGACGGAGAGAGAGAGACGTGAGTTGAGACTTATCGTGAGAGAGGATCGTGTATATTTTTTGGGCCAACTTGCTCCAAATTGAGATCTGATTGCCTTGTTGGATTTGGATCTCAAAAGGTTGAGAAAGATAACAAGTTGGGCCTTTGAAGTTTCAATTGAAGCAAAAAAAGATTGGACCAAGTGTAAAAGACCCAATTGAGGCCCTTTTGTTAATGATATACTTATATATCTCATTCTCAAACAAAATAAAAAGGGGATAGGAGACAGATAAAAAAAGATACTGAAACGGAACAGAGAGGAGCCTAGGTCCGGTCCGGCGATGACAACTCCAGGGACCAGGGGCGATGACCGGCGGTCCGGCGGCGACTGGAGGTCTGGGCGGCGGCCATGGATGGAGCAGCTGATTTGGCAGCCCTGGTCTCTTCTTTTGCAGTGAACGAACAAAGGACATCTCAGGGGAGTATTTGTCAATTAATGCATTTTACCCCGTATATGCTTTTTTTCTTTTTCCATTCCAAAACTTATAAATTAGATTTCCAATATTAAATATGTTAAGCAGAGAGGATGCAGGATTTGAGCCTCTTCCCATCTATGAAATCTTTCTCCCCCACAAGTGACAATCTCATATTTCCCACGTAGCTCACCATCTCCACCGTTAGAGACTGCATTCAACGGAACTATTTAATTTATGGATCAAAGTGGATTTTTTTTCCTATATTATTACTCGGTATTATTTTATCTCATATATGCATGTATGCATGCAATTCAAGTTCTACGTATAATACTGTTTCTAAATTTTACAGACTTACAAAGTAGCCGTTTGTCAATGGATTCAATGTTCAATTTTGACGTTTTCAAAGTTTATCATTATCATTAAAAATTTATCCAAAATATTGTTACTAATTAAAAAATGTTCCTCTTAATTAAACAAGGTCAAATTTTGATCATGATAAAGATTTTTTTAAAATTAAAGATTAAAATCCATCTTATTTGATTTTAAAAAGGGGAATTTACTTAAATACGGAGTAGCACTTAAATATAATGACTTTCTTAAAAAGCATCATATGTGTTTTTTCCAATGTATCACTTTTAGTCATTATTCAAGTAAATATTCGTCATCACTGGTCATTATTCCTCCGTTGTTGTTTATGAGATTTTGCTGAAATTTTTTTTCAATTCAATTGATTTAAAAATAGGTATATAATTAAAAATTAAAATTTATATATTTAAAAAATTACATCAAAAGTTCTAATAAATAAGATGAAACAAGACTATATTATTATCTCAAAATGGTAACAAAATTGGTAAAATATGTAGTTAAAATTTGAATTTATAAATAGTAAACAACAATTTTAATAGGGGGAGGGAGTATGACAGTAATTTCTTTAATTTGTACATAGCAATTTGCAAAAATGATTGGGTCTAAAGACGGACTAAAGTTGATTCAAATTTGTTTTAGCCCGGCTCACGTTCATATTCGGTTCAATGGCTCATAGAGGAATGCCATTATTGTACATTTTTACCCCTAGCTCCATTAATTTTCTCATTACGCATCACGAGACTTGACTCACTTTATTTTTCATTCAATTAATTTGATTGTTTGTGTAAATTTTAAAAATAAAATCTATATTATAAAAAGCCAAATGAGAGGTGCTACAAAACTAGAGGTAACAAGATTATTATTTTATAAAATGAGTAATATAAATAAATAAACAGAGTGAAAAATATTCGATCATTTGAATAGTGTCTAAGAAGATATTTGTGAGAGAAAAAGAATAATACAACACTCCGTGTGTTCAAGTGATAATCCCAAAACTAAGGGGCTGTTTGTTTCAGCCTCTTAATGGTTCAGAATGATTCAGCATTTAATGGTTCAGACTGTTTGTTTCAGTCTCTTAATGGTTCAGATGTCTGAATGGTTAAGAGATTTGCCTCTGAATGATTAAGTATTATACAGAGTCTGAATGGTTAAGAGCTTTTATCTGAATTGATCAGACATTTGCCTCTGAATAGTTAAGCAATATACTAGCTCTTAATGGTTCAGACCTCTTACTGGTTCAGCACTTAATGGTTCAGATCTCTTACTAGTTCAGCACTTACCTATTCAGAAGTTACCAAACAGCCCCTAATTCTCCTTAAGACAATATGATAAAAGAATCAAATCCTATCATCACAACTTTATGGCGTGTTTGGAAACTTGAATTTGGATTTCAAATTTAGATTTGATCCAAATTACTTGTTTTGGAACTCAAAGAATTTGGATTTGGATTTTGAACCAAATTCTTCTAATTCAAAACTAACTCAAATACAAATCCACACCCCTACCCATGTCATTTACAAATTCAAACTTATTTTTTCTTTAATTTAAAACTTTTAATTAAAAAGTGATCTTCTCTCATATAATAACAATCCCATACATATAAATCCACTTCCGTTACCGTCTTTGCCGAGTTCAAAATTCAAATTCTAGAATTGATATTCTATAACTTCCCAAACAGCATTGTGAATTTGAAATTATGGGATTTCAAATGATTTTGAGGGAAGTTACAAAGATAATAACTTAAAAAGAATATATTCAAAACATGTATTGTATATATGATTCTATCATTGTCCCCCGAGCTTATATATCACATATACGGAGTACTATAAACAAATATGCACTCGGTTCGTCCCTGAGTATTTGTGTACTTTTTGACTTTTTTCGGTTAAAATTAGTAAGCTTTGACCTCAAATTAAATAAACATGATATTAGATATTGATACAAATATAATTTTATTAGATTTTTAATATCAATTTTTTCAAAATATTATTTTATTTAATTAATATTCAATATATGTTTTATTTAACTATAGATCAATATTTGAAAAATGTTAACCGAAAAAGTTAAAACTAGACAAATACTCAGAGACGAGGTTACTAGTTAATTACTTTAGTCACTAGAAGCAACTTGTTGGAAATCTCATGATGTTGCTTGGCTTCATCACAATCCTTTTGTTCCAAGAGATTGTTTCTAATTACTTCTTCTTCTTCTTTTTGTGTGTGTGTGTGTGTTGCATTTAGTAGTTGGTATGTGACGACGGAATTTAACAAAGGGCGGTGGCGGCAGCCGCGTCGGAGATCAAGTGGAAGGCTCTCCGGACACAATCCTCGTACTTGGCGGGATCTATGAAACCCCTTTCTGTTCCCACTGCAATCCTCAGCGTTCTCATGTAGCTCATCACTGTTATGGTTAAACTCTGCCATATGCATCATTCCAAAAAAAAAAAAACATACATGGGGATATATGTTAGAGGCCAAAATCAGATCCCAAGAAGAATAAAAACAATTGGTTTATTATAAGTTCTTGAGCTTGATCAATTGAATTTAAAATTTTAATATCGTTCCCTTCAATTAGAACTTGAAATTTTGGTTGAATTGGACTGACGAGCTGGTAGTTATAAATATATACTCCATCCGTCTCAATTTGATTACAAATTGCGGATTACGGAATAAAATTTCTTACTTTTTGAAATCATTTTATTTACAAATTGGTATATCAATAAAATATAAAAATTACATATTAAAAAACTACTTCAAAAGTTCTACAATACAAGAGATGACAATAATATTTTATTTTATCAAATACTTAATGAAATCGCGTAAACAAACAAAAGTTATCGAGAGGAGAGAGAAAAAAATTGTAATCTATTTAGGGATGGAGGGAGTATATATAGAAATATTTGCACTAAATAGCACTAAACCTATGTCATTTTCCTAAATAACACTATATAAATTGTTATATTCTCTAAGTAACACTTAATTGTTATATTCTCTAAGTAACACTTAATTGTTATATTTCTTAAATAGCACTTAATAATATTCATAATGTTCAGTAATGATGAATATTTACTTGAATAATGACTAATGAATAATGAATAAAAGTGCTACATTATATTGGAGGAAAAAACACATGTGATTCTATATATACCTGGGGAACACCGACAACCATGAAATACAAGCCCTTTAAGGGTTGATCCGCCAAAGACATTTTCTCTATAGGCCCAATCATATTCGATATTGTCATGCTCGAGTTCTTCAGTGTGTTGTGCACATATTTAGCCGTCGCCTGATTCATTCATTCATTCATTACCATTTTTTTCATTATTTCCAAATAAAAATACAAATAATAAAATAATCAATCAATCAAACATTCAACCTAAATATCCAAAAAATGTTAGAGAAAACTGTACCGTTTACCTCCGAATTCTTTAAAAATTGTAAAGTTTACCCCTGAACATTAAAAAGTGCGCCAAAACACCTGAATTCTTCAAAAATTGCACTGTTTGTCCTTGAACATTTAGATAGAAACGATAATTTTGGGGAGGGGAACTTTGGAGAATTCACAAGGGCCAAATGCCCTAACTAGTATTTTAGGACTAACGATACAATGTTTTAACTTGTTCAAGAGTATTTGGTGCACTTTTTAATTTTCAGGGTAAAACATATACTCGTAATTTTCAAATAGTTCAAGGATAAACAGTACTCCCTCCGTCCGGAAATGTTCTTCCCGTGTTGACTTGGCACGCTTATTAAGGAATAGTAAAAAAAATGCAAAATTTTCAAAAATGCACATACTATAAACTTTTAAATCTCCTTTTATTATTAAAAAAGTATTAAAAAACTAGATTTGTGATAAAATAGAAGGGTATTATTGATATTTAGCCTGAAAAAGCATACTAAAAAAGGAAATGAGAAGATTATTTCTGGACGGACCAAAAAGAAAAATGGGAAGAATATTTCCGGACGGAGGGAGTATATTTTTTAATTAATGCTCAGAGGTAAATCATACAATTTCTAAAGAGTTCAGGAGTAAAGATTGCACTTTTCTGAAAAATGTTAAGTTCCAAAAGTAGCTAAAAAATATAACTAACACCGAATGTTTTACAAACATAATGACTAATCTGGAGAGAATCTAAGAATTACCTCAGGTCCACTGTAGTGGCGGAGAGTGTCGAGGACTTTTCCGGTGAGGAGAACGGCGGAGGAGTTTCTTTTCCTCTGGATGATCTCCCGGGCTTTGGAGACGAAGTCGATGGGATTAGAAAAAGAAGAGTTGGATTTCGGGGCGGCGACGTGCATGAATGCGAACCGGTTCCCCCACTTGGAGGAGTCGCCGCCCTCAGACCGGACCATTTCCTTGGTGGATCTGTAGCCGCCGATGTTCCTCGTGTTCAGCAGCACCAGCGCCGTCGCCTTCCCGTTTTTCAGCTCCCCGCCGCCGCCGCCGTCGCTCATCTCCTCCATGTACAGTCTCGTCCCCAGAAATATTACTCCGCACAACACGTCGTTTATGGTCTGCAATTTTTAAGAACATAGGGATTTAATGATTTATACTCCTAACCAAATTTATATACTCCCTCCGTCCCTAAATAAACTTCTTCTTTCGTTTTTTCTTTGTCCCCAAATAAACTTCTCTTTTCCCTTAAAAAACCCCTTTTACTCTTTACTTTTTCATATCCTACCTATCACATCATACCTTTTTACTAATAATCTACTTATCACATCTTACTTTTACACATCACATCAAGGGTATTTTTGAAAAGTCAACACAAAAATATCCCTCTTTTAAATCCTCAAAAAGTCAAAAATGGAAGTTTATTTAGAGACAGAGGGAGTATATTTTTATAAAATTCTACTCCCTCCGTTTGGAAAAACCCTTCCCATTTGATTTGGGGGCAAAAATAAGGAAGTGTTAAATTATACTCCGTAGTTGATTTCCAATTTTGCCCCTGATTTGATGAGTAAAAGTAAGATGTGATGAATAGATTATTAGAGAAAAAGTATGATGTGATAGGTAGGGTATGAAAAAGTAAGGGTAAAAGCGGTTTTTTAATAGAAAAGGGAAGTGTTTTGTTGGAAGTTAAAAAAATGAAAGAGGAAGTGTTTTTGAGAACGGAGGGAGTAATATTTTAAAATACAACATATTTTTTCACAAAATCGTAACCAAAATCTATAAATTTTAATTAAGAAAAATGAAATGAAAAGAAATAAGAAACAATGGAGTAATTGATTATTCAACTTTTGGTCAACAAGTCAATTAAAATTTTGAGAACTTTCCAAATATGGCAAATGAGTAGGATAATAAGGAGTATCAAATAAGGTAATTATCTCCTAAATACTCATTTGAATAGAAATGTATACTCTCATTTTCACAAAAAATAAAAAGTTATGGCACTCTTCTCTACGAGCATCATATTGCCAACTGTCTCTGTTAGTCCTCCTTTGTGTCCTTAAGGTTGACCAACTTTAACAAGTGGTCCACCGTCACAATGTCATCATATTTCTATATAGAAAATTAAAAAAGTTTATCACCTTCAAATTTTAGTAACTTAATGTCATTTTATTCTTATTTACAAACACTTTGTACTCCCACAATTCAAGCAAAGCCCAATTTATATACCAAGAGAGTCATAAAAGTCAATTCATATAGAAAAGATAATGAGTTTAGAGTCTATCATACCACATGGAGCCTAGTCTTGATTTGCTTGAACTCGTCAATAGAAAACGCTATGGTGTTAATATCCACCGGCCGGAACTCGACCCCAGGGTCGCCGGAACGGATCGGAGTCCGGTCATCTTCAAGAAAGCTACTCTTCATCAAGCTCCACCCGAAATCGGAAACAGTGTTGACCACGGCGGAGACGAGTCCCGGCAGAGCCTTACAGAGCCCATCTTTGCCGGATCCCGTGACGCGGGAGGGCTCCTTGAACGCCGGAAAAGTCAGGGGAAGGGCGGGGTCGTCGGCCCTCTGGAGGCAGGACAGGAGGGCGCCCATCAGCGAGAAGCCGTCGCCCAGGGCGTGGTGGAGCTTGAAGATCACGTTCCCGGCGGCGGCGCTGGTCGGGTACTTGACGATGTGGATTTCCCACAACGGCCTCCCCTGCCGCAGCGGCTCCATTGCAACCTCCGACAGGTAATCTTTGAAGCACTCATCGTACGATTCTGACTCTGGCGGGAAAACGGGTACTCTTATGTGATCTTCTGCTCTCACTTCCACTTTCTTCCATTGTTTCTCTCCATTCTCATCTATTACCTGTTTTGTTTAGGCGTTAAAAATAACCATTCTCTATGATATTAAATTTTAACCATTACGGAGTACTATTTTTATTTTTATATAGATTACAAAAATATGATATTTGAAAATTACGTTTCAAAATTAATGTATTGATATTAAATATGAATCACAACTTGATGTAATTTAACCTTAATGTTGTGATCAAAATTTGGAAAAACAGACCAAATTAGTTAAAATGAGAGAAATATATGAGACGGAGAGTGTGTATACTTTGTTCGATGCCAAAAAACAAACAAAAAAATTGTAGACCCTTTCTTGTAATGTTGGAGTATTTATTATTGCAAACCTAACACACTTGGAAATTTATTACACCTGCTCATTTTATGAATTCAATATTTTTAATTAGGACCCTTGAATTGTGTCCAATAAAAATGGATTGAACAAAAAATGAAATGGATATGAATAATCTCTACATACAATATAATCACTCATTTTTTTCACTCCGGAATATGATGTTACTATATATTTACCAGGCAATGTAATTTTGTGTTTGACCATATTTTTTGGTCAATGTTTTGAAACATAAGAGAATGTAGGGGAGTATTTAGTACTATGTAGTATGTACCATGATGGAAGAGAATCTGGGACTGATGGGGAGAAAGAGATTGTTGATGAGGGGAACGGCGAGGGAATCGTCAATGGGGTGTTCGAAATCCAAGACGGCGAGAACGCAAATGGAGAGGACGGAGCTGTTGAAGTATTGCCCCGTCGGGCTCACCGGAAACAACCATTCTTCTTCTTGCTCCTTCTGCAACTTGTTGCTGAATAATAATGCTTCTTTCATCTCATCAATCTGATGATGATGATGATGATTAATCAATATAATGATCTCTCTCTATCTCTCACTCTGTGTCTTTTAATGGAGTATTTATGAATAATAAATTATAATTATAATAGAATACAAGTACGGGTATATATATATGTGTGTGTGTGTGTGTGATTGATGAATGAAGCTTTGGGCATGGCTTGTAAAGCCAGGCAGGCAGGCAGCCATGATGCCAGCGCCTTTAAATGTAGGTGGTGGTTATGTGGGAATTTATTATGACTAGGGATAGGAATCATCTGTCCGCACTATAGCCTTCCTTCTTTCTTTCTTTCTTTCAATTCCCATGTCTCAAAAAGAGTTTTCAACAAAAAAACGAGTTTCCTTTCCCCTTCCTTAATTAGGGTAAATTCACACCAACACTTCGAATATTTGAGACTGGGGAGGGTTTGGGTGACACACACTCTCCATGTCGATCATCCTATGATATGGGTCTCGATTAGGGCATCTACGATGCTTTGTTCGAAAAATTGATGGTCCATATCTCCCCTAATCGCTCTGGTAAATCCCCTCACTCCCGTCAATTGCATGCCACAAAATTTAGTTGATTTTGGAGTCAAAGTTTGATTCCAAAATCAACTAAATTAAATCTTGTGGCATGCAATTGACGGGGAGCGGGGTATATATGTTTGGGTTGGGTGGGGGTTTATCGAGGAGGGAGGTTAGGGGGTAGTAACCATCAATTTTTCAAACGAAACACCGTATGAACCGCGAGTTATCTCATGACATTGAATCATGGGAACCAAGGTGTTTAAGATTATACAATATTTATCCTTCATTATATCTTTCCGGTCTGGTTCTATAGGCATAGTAATTTTAGTATCATCAGTTATTATGAGTGATTCTATTTACCTAGATCATATATATAAGACTTTGAATAAGCGTAGTTCTTATAAATTGGGCACTTTATTGTTTCTTTTTTCAATTTGAGAGAAACCTCCCAATAGATTCATTTAAAAAAGAATTAATGCTCATTTTCATCTCTTTTTGATCCCTACAAGTGTATTTAGGAATCAATTAGTCCATATAAGTATAGTTAAATCAAATCAACTCCTTTTTAACTAGAAAATGTAAATGAGGTTAGTGTTTCAATGAAATTTCATTACTAAAAATCTGAAATATTACTTTAATTGATACAAGAGTAATGATCCTGGATATGAATTTTTGTGTTAAGACGTTCTAACTTAGAATATGAGGAGATGAATTTCGTTTCAACAAAATTTACAGAGAACTAATTGACTTGAGTGCAGGTCTAAAATAAGTACTCCTTCTATATGGAATATATTCTTCTTATTTGACTTTTTTTTAGTCTCCAATGTTACACTTTGACCATCATATACATAGATATATTTTATTAAAAAAATTGATATTTCAAAACTATATTTCACTAGGAATATATTGATATTAAATTTATATCTTAATATAATATATTTTTTTCACGAATTGAAATCAAACTTTACAAACTTTCATAAAAAAAAGTTAAATGTGAATAACATTTTCAGACGACATAGAGAGTATTAAGTACTCAATCAATATAAAATGAAAAAAATCAAATACAATAATGGTATGTTTGGGAACATGGATTTGGATTTCAAATACGGATTTGGCTCAAATTCCATGTTTGGAAAACTTACAAATTTTGAGTTTGGATTTGAGTCAAATTCTCCTCATTCATAACAAAGCTCAATTTAAAATTCATGCACTTTTCCTTATCATTTGAAGTTTAAAATTTCAAATTTTAGAATTGAAATGCATGAATTGAAATGAAGTGCTAGTTGCCAAACACTACTTAAAAAATTTTGGAGTTCCAATATCAATCACCACCACTACAAAAAGTATTGAGTATTGAATATTGATGCTGAAATTAAAGGCTCGTTGACTTCATATTTTCTAAGTTAGGGAAATGATCATTGAAATTAAGAGGACCAACTTTTAAACTTTAATACGGAATGTAAATTTTTAAGAGAACAATTTACAATCGTTTCAAATTAGAAGTCCTTCGTATGAACGATAGTAAATTGTACAAAGACATCAATACCTAGTATAATGCAATTATTTTTATAATAAAAAAAAGAGGATGAGCCCCATCCCGAAGGCCCTTTCAGACCCGGTCAGACGATCACTGAAAAGAGATAAATTAAATTTTGATCGCATATTAGTGACAGGAAGTAGAGCATGCGCCTAGTACTTGCAGAAACTTTATACTTAGCAATTAGCATAGTTGCCTCTCAATGCATTTACCAAGAATCAAACTCGGGTTTATCCCTTTGACACCTCATGTCTTTACCAACTGCGCAATGTACGCCAGTTAATTATTTTTAGAATACAAAATGAATGGGCGGCCCAATAATAACATTAAATTGGGAGCCGCGTTAGTAGTTAGTATACCATGCTCCTCAATAGACTTTTTTTTCCCCTAAGGTAACCCAATAATTCGACGATCTACATAAATGCCCCTACTACCCCTATATAGGTGTGCATAATTATACTCTATCATTAAGTAGTGTTTAATTAAATTAATTCCTCAACTGTAATCTTCTCTTTTGCTATGAGGATTTGCTCATCTTTATTACTGCCCAAACAAATGCTAGCTGTTGACTGGCAGCCAATATATCAAATCAAAATCAAGAAAATTAATGTTACTCTCGTCCTTAAATAGTCTTTGTGGTTTTGTATTTATATTAAGTTTAAGAAGAATAAAATGGTGCTATTAAATTTTGTGTAGATGAGCTAGATAATAAATGCAAACTATAGAATTTCTCCTTTAAATGAAAATAAAAAAATTAGAAACATTTTTAGAAGAGAAAAATAAAAAGATAAAAAATGGACATCCAAAGTAATAATTATGTACATACATTGGAAATACAATTTCATTTATTGGCTATATCATGAGAGCTACTCCCTCTGTCCCCCTGTATTTGTCGACTTTCATTTTTACACACCATCCAATGCACTTCTTTAATCCATTTTATCTTGTAATTTGTACATTAAAAAATTATAGAAATTATATATTAATAATCTATATGTTAAGACAAATCAAACAAGATCACACATGACTATATTTAGGCTTACACATTGAGAGAATTTGATGAGTCAAAGTGCTTAGATGAATAGTTCCAAAAGTCAAATGTGGACAAATACTGGGGGACGGAGGGAGTATTATTTATAAATAAGCATAAGTGACGAGCAGGCTGCAGGCCAATGAATGCCAGGGCCGACTCAGGTCATGGGCAGGATGGACATTTCAAAGTGTTGTCACATGTTTTGTGAAAGGAATTTATATAAATTTTATCAATATTCATATAATTAATCAAATTGAAAAATAGCTTCAACTAAATTCTGGAAATTGTTTTTTGAGACGGAAGAACTAAGAAGTAAGTATGTGCTCCGTATGACATTGTGAACAAGTAACTGTTTAGTTTTAAGGATTTGCTAGAGGTACCTTGGGTGATGTATCATATTTATACATCATATTTCTCACAGACCCATACATATATCATTATATCCATTATTTGTGTGCCTCTATAAGAAGAGTGATGTAGAGTTCAATTACACTATTTGGGTGTGTCTAGGTTTTTCCCTAATTTAAATTAGGAAAATGCTAAAGAGGCACCAAGTGTGCCTCCAAGCATGCTACCAAATATATAATTAATTTTTTTTATTTTTCTTTTTCCAAATCTAATCTCTCTCCAATCCTTCTCCCGCTTCTCTCTCCAACCCTTCTCCCGCTTCTTCTTTCCCAAATTTGGCTTGCCGGCAAAATCCCCAACCCTCCACCTCCAGTGACCCTCCATCTCCAGCGCACCCCCAGCCCTCCAGCGCACCGGCCCCACCACCTGCAGCGCACCGGCCCCACCACCTCAAGCGTCGTGTCCCCACCCCTTCACCTCCCTCGCCGGCAGCCCAACCCTCGATTTCCAGCGCCGGCAGCCCAACCCTCGATTTCCAGGGTGAGCTGATCTGTTTTGGTTTTAAATTGTACTTTAAACAGTCTCTTGTATCATCATCACTTGATTCAATGGTTTTTTTCTTCATTTGGTCATTAGGATGAGGATGAAAGGGAAACGTGTGAAACTCTTTGTAA